TCTTCCTCCCAAGGCTCCAAATGTCTTCCTCAGATGAAAAGAGATCCCCAGGGAGTCTTGCAACCTGAGAGAGGAACAGTCGATGATGCCATCAGCTTTTCCATGTGCAGAGTTGTGTGGCAAGATTCTGGTCAATGGTTTCAAGGATAACATCAGAAGGAGATATTCTGGGGCAGCAGCCTCAGTCCATTGGGTCTAGGGCCAATTTCAGCCCTAAAATTCCAACAAAGACTTGTGCCACATAAATATGGCAGCATACTGACAACCAGGAGTGGGATATCCATGTCTTGAAATTGCCTTCCTGTACTAAAACAAGAGATGTGATACATAGACACAAGTCTCCTTTTGATCCATGTCTTGAAATTGCCTTCCTGTACTAAAACAAGATATGTGATACATAGACACAAGTCTCCTTTTAGAGCAGTGGGTCCCCAGATGTTCTTGGACTACAACTCCCAGAAATTCAGGCCAGCACAGCTAGTGGTGAAGGTTTAATCGGAATCTGGGGACACAAGGTTGGAAACCATTGTTTTATTGTATAGTTACATTTCCTGGAGGTGAAATTGCCTTCCTGTACTAAAACAAGATATGTGATACATAGACACAAGTCTCCTTTTAGAGCAGTGGGTCCCCAGATGTTCTTGGACTACAACTCCCAGAAATTCAGGCCAGCACAGCTAGTGGTGAAGGTTTAATCGGAATCTGGGGACACAAGGTTGGAAACCATTGTTTTATTGTATAGTTACATTTCCTGGAGGGTTCCAGGCATATGATTTGGTCTGAAACAATGTGCAAATCCCCTGCTCCTTGTTTTTAACAAGGAAATGCAATTCTATTTTATTTTATTTGGCAGTGAGCACTCTTGAGGCTGCTAAAATGAACTCCCTAACAGACAATAAGCCCTGGAGTAGTTGCTTGACCATGACCTTCATGTCCCTAAACTAGTCAGTGGGATTAAATTACTGTAAGAATGTCCAATATATTGAGAGCCCCTTTAGGCTTGCCAAATGGCTGAGTATGGCTTGAAGCATTCTTCATGACATTTGAAGGAGTAGCTTTGGTGAAGCAGTGGACTTTATTATTAGCCCTTTAGCTGTCTGGGAAAGCCCAGGCAGAACACAAAACACAAATGACTGAAAAAATAATTGTATTAACTTTATTTATTAAATATCTCTTCAGAGTAATATTAAAAGGACTTTTAATGAGATGTTTGGAAAAAGAAATACCCGTCACTGTTTCTAACACAGTGCCCCTAAGAACTCTTTTTTTTTCCAGGAGGATCTAATCATGCAACCATCTCCTTAAAGAAGCTTAAATTGTCCTCTTTTAATGAGGAATTTACCATCTCTGCACTCTAGACTCAAATTTCTAACAAAGTACCTTGCTGATGTCCTCAGATAATAAACATTGGAAGTCATCCAACAAAACAAAACCAGGCAGTGTAGAGGATTAAATGTGGAATCCCAACTGTATAGGATATGAGATAGTTTATCCTCAGAATGTCTTGCAAACATGTTGCAGCATGTTACTAAGGGTTCCAGGACATTTGCTATTGAGTCAAATATCCCCAAATCACTTGAAATAGCTCTGCTGGCTCACATTGTACAGAGGCATTAGTGGAGCAATGGATCTCATCCAACCATAATGAGGGACTAAATACAAAAGTTCCCATTTTCAACTCACCATATACTACCTGCTTGAGAAAATTAAAATGAGAGTGTGCCTGCTACATGCACTAGGCTAATGATGTGTTGGGACAGCCTTATGACTGATGTGCTGCCTTGGAAGTTCGAAGATGCCCCAGATACAGTGGCATCCACAGGTACAATAGTCGGATCCCTTGTTATTCAAGCACTTCCCCAAATCATTTTGGGTACACATATGCATTACAGATACTACCATGTAAAACACTTTACAGCCAGAAAAATCATTTGGCTCAAGCTTGGTTAAAACTAGTCCAATTAACAGTATACTGACATTTTTGAAATCTGAAAGGGGCAAGTTGATCTTACCTATCCTGAAATGACTGTGGAAATTCAGCTATAGCTTCTTGGTTTTTGATGACTCTGAAAATTGGAACAAATTTGGTGCTTTTTTAAAAGAATGAAATTATAAAGAATATTTCAAGTATCCCAAAGTATACTCAATCTTCTCATTAAAAAAAATTAAGTTTATTTATTTAAAATATTTTCACCCCACATTTCTCCTTAAAAGGACCCAAGGCAGTTTGCGTCATTAAAAAGCAATATTAAATTAGGACCCAAGGCAATTTGCATCATTAAAAGGCAATATAAAATCTAACTACAGTGGGTATACAAATGCTAAAAAAGATCAAACAACCCCCCAAAAAGAGAAAAAAAGAAAGCACAACATCAAAACATATTCAAAGCAGTAAAAGTACAGCAATCCATTTTGAGAACTCCACTCAGGCAGCCAGTTACTCAGGGAATAAATAAATCATAAAGAAGGTCTGGTCTGCGAGGGAGTAACATCAAGTTCCTCAAGCCATTTCCCAACCAGAGTCATTCTCCTTAAAGGCCTTCTGTAGCTCAACGATTCAGAAGCTGAATGGTGGCTAGAATGCTGGAGGCCTGAAGGAGGCCTGCAGAACTTTTGGTCCAGCTGTGCCTCTTACCTTTGTGACCTAGAGCTAAAACTATAAGAGGATAAGAGGCATCAGCCATGGCAGCACTCCAAGCAAAGGAGCGTTGCCATCTGAGGAAGATGTTACATTCTTTGGTCTACAACTCCTAGAATGCAACAGCCAGCCTGGCCCCTGTAGCATACTGCCCAAGGTATTCTAGGTATTCTTATCACAAAAAAAAGCAAAATTCCTCCTCTTTGTGAAGGATTAACAGCTGGCTGATATAAGAGCCATTTTTTTTTCTGAGATCTGCCATGGAAACACCCTTTCTCAACACTTGTCTGTTTTAAAATATTTTACACTAACAAAAAGAACTCAGATTATTTCCTCTCTAAACCTGAATTTGACATATTGACCAAAAAATGAGTAGTAATAGATCCAACCTATTCAGGAACCAAGCTTTACTGAAGAACATTTGTATGTTCTGTATCATCAAGTCAGAATTGACTTATAGAGACCCTAACAGGCTTTTCAAGGAAAGTTAGAAACTTAAGGAATAGTTTTACCAGTTCCACTCCCCTGGTGAGCTTCCATGGCTGAGCAGGGGATTCGAACCCTGTTCTCTAAAGTCATAGTCCACCACTCTATCCACTACACCACATTGGGAATCCATGCATAAATATGCATAAATAGAAGAAAAAAAAACAGCTATCTATGTATCCTGCAATATCTACAGAAAAGTTATGGACACTAAAAACACATAACACACACCAATGTCACTAAGGCTAGAGTCCCATGCCAGTGACTGCACCTCTACTGAGCTTCAGAAAGGGCCTTTTTAAGTGAGATATTGAGACTGGATTGAAAACAAGGATAATGGTCCATGTTTTATATAGAAGGAGTATAGCCATTCTTTCAAGTTGCCTGAAGTGTGTGCAATATTGCCGAACAAATTATAGTTTTGAAAAGGAAAGGGGGACTTTTAAGGATGGTGATTTGAAGTGAACCAAAGCTATTCTGCTGCATAAGTTATCGGGTAGTCAGAACTGGACTGTCAACCAGTTGAAAAATTGCACCCCCCACCTTTAAATCTCTTGCATTATCATATTTTCAAAAGGGAGGGGAACATTACAATTACAGTATGTCCTACATTTAGTTTTGAATTCACCTCTTGAGATTTAACAAACAAAACTCGATGGGAATAAATTCCTTTATGCTTCAGGTCAGGATTTGTGGGCAAGACTAGGCAAGATTTATGGGCTAAATCTCCCTCTCAGCAAGCTTATTAACAATTACTGTACTGATAGCCTGTGATTTTTGCCAGCTAAATGGAATCAGCCAGAAGGTACATTTATACCCATTGTGACTATCCCACAAGACCAGTACCCAAACACAGCAGCCACAGTAATTTTCAGCCTCTGCAAAAGCAAGCTGCAGGACATGCCTTAGCTCTGGATGAGAGGCCAGAGAAATCCCCTGGGTTAGGATAGCACACAGCCCTATGAAGACCTGAGAGGCATTTAAGAGGAGCAAGAGAGGAAATGAGAGTAATCACTAGAAACCACATTATTTAGTTTTATTGGGATTAAAGGTCTTAGTAAGTCTCAAGAGAACCAATTTCAGGATTCTTACTGGTAACAGTTATTTGCAATGTACAAAGTAATGCAACCCACAGCTCTAGGACACAGTGGTGGCCAGTGGTTAGAACACATTATGCACAACCCACCTAACGAGTCATGTAGAAACTTACATAAATTTGCAAAATTTCCAGAAAGTTTGAAGACCAATGTCCAGGTTTTTTCCAGAAAAAAGTAGAAATTTGAGGATATATATGCAACACATACATACTTTCTCATTAAGCCTAAGCTTATTTTCTCATAGCATGTTGCTAAATATAGAATGTTCTGTTTTCCATAATCATAATCATCATAATCTTAGAACTGCAGAGCTGGAAGGGACCCGATGGATCATCAAGTCTAGTCCATATGAAGGAGGCTATAGTCACATGGTTCTTTTTGGCATCTGGATGAAATTTGTGAAGCAATCCTGTGCTTTTTTTTCTTTCTTACTCAGACCTTCCCAGAACTTGGAATTATTCTTGGACTACAAATTCCAGAAGCCTCAGCCAGCATGGCTCAGGATCCTGGGATCTGTAATCCCCCCCCAAAAAAAATGTTTCCATGGTCTGGATCTTTCAGTTTATTCTAGTCTGTTTTCTTCTGTGAGTTTTGTTACTCATGGAAATATTCTGATTTACTTTCTTTGAGACCTGTTGGAGGACATTCTCTGTTGCCAATCCACCTTTTTCTGAGCACTGGAACATTATAAGCCTGTATATTCAGGAACAATTGTTCTTTAATACTCTGGATTTCCTTACATATTTGGGGTAATCACCTTGTCTTTAAAAAGCATTTCACTCATTCCAAAAGAGAAAATATTTTATAAGGATCTTTTTCAATGTGCCCCATATTTTCCAGAGCACTTCCAGTCCCTCACTCATGTATACACATGTTGTTAATTTGGTGTGTTGGGCACAATCCCCAAAAGCATCTAGCACCGAAATAAAGGATGGGTTTGAACCAGTGGCAGCTGCTTCATCTGGAAAAAGGGGCACTGCTTCACATCAGCCTCATGCCATGTCTAGTCAGTCTGCTCCTGCCTCCTTTCTTGCCACATCAGGGTCCATCAGTTTCCTTAGTGCTGCTGAACCTCTGCCCTCAGAATCTGTACAGGAGGAAAAGTGAAAAGTGAAGAAGCACCAGATTGCCATAGGCTTTCCCCTTTGTCTCTATCCATCACTGGCTCTTGTGACTTCCACTCCTATAACCACAATGGGCACCAGCCATCACTGGGTAGAATGTGATCCTCTGCTGTCTTACAGAAGACATTCTCTTGGAGGTTTGGGTGCATAGATTTGTATCTCTATGTATGTGTGTGTCTTTGACTGTGTATGCAATGCTGACTGCAAACATTCCAACTCTCTCTCTCTCTCTCTCATATCCATTATCTATTATTGGTGTTTGGTGTCCAAATGAAGTATGGAGCCAGATGTAATGGTAGGCTTACTCATTGTGGACATTGTACTGGAGGTACCATGTAATTTGATTTGATAGGAATTAAAATTCCTAGTAAGCCTCAAGAGAACCAATTCTAGAATTCTCTTTATTACAGTCATAGGATGACTGTACAAAGCGGTCTTGAACTGGTATTGCCTTCTTGCTGTTACTGCCTTAGGAAAGTTAGCTTAGCCTACTGCAAGGCAGAGTAGGCCTTGTGTAAGATGTATCTGTGTTGTGATTACATACAAAGTTGCAGAATTGGTGGAGGTCCATCTGCTTTTTGGGGTGCACATCAATAATCATGTGCAGCAGGATTCATCACATGGGTTAGAATTTTCATCTTGGCTCATGGGCTATACAAAACAAAAGCGCAACAGAGCACGAGAGGACCCCCCGTTCAAAGCTTCTCTCTTTGCATTATTATTCAACATGGCCCAGAATTCAGCTCAGGCATGGCAACAGTTTCTAAGTTTAAGGGCTGGTTAATTCTGTTCTGTTACAGACGAAGTATCTCTGCCAAAGAAATGAAACAAAAAAGAAGAAAATGTAATCTTATCTTAGAACTTGTGTCCTTCTCCCAGAAGTGGCTTCTTTGATATTTTCCACTTCCAGAAAGCCATCCACTTATCCTCACAGCTCCTTTGATCCACTGCTAGGTGCCAACAACATCATCTGAGTATTCATGTCAAAAAGATGCCAAGAACAACCATCTCTTCCAGGATGCCCAAGCATTCTTTTTGGTTAAGACTTCTCTCAGCTGGCCCCCATAGAGTTCAAACCTTCATTGGGACACTCCCTTCTAATCCCACATCCTACCCTCCAGAGACTTCTGCTACTTAGGGGATCTGTTCAAACACCTTCAATTGCTGTGCCTTCATTCCCAGTTCTAGACATATGCTTTCTGAAGCCTTCATGCAACTCTAAAAATACTCAAGCATCTACACTTTCTTCTTTCTGGTGTGCTTCATGTTGTCTTTATTTTCTTTTTACAGAAGAAAATTTGACATTGCAGTATTGAGAAATTCCACAAGTACTGCACCTGAATAAAGAAAAAATGAATTTGACTGCACGTGGAAAAAAAAAGATAGAGCCCTGTTAATTTAGCCTTAGAAACCATTGTGCAGATTCTATACATTGTTTGCTCCTCATTTAAACTTCTTTGTTCCTCCTGCCCTCTTCATCGCTGTCTTTTATTCTCCATGAGTATATAGATCTCTGTTTTAGAAAAGACCAAACAGAGCAGAATTCAGAAATGGATGCACACAAAAGGGTGCATCTTATGACTAGCAATGCATGCAAAGGATTAGTTTAAGTATGTGCTATCAGATAGATCCCAATTTGTACAGTCTACTCCAAATATTTTCTAGAAGCAGCTTACCAGTTCCTTATGCTGGTCGTAATGTTGGGGTCATCTTAAGGGCAGGAGCTCAGCATGTCCTGGCTGCTGTGAGAGTCACAGTGCTATCTCAGAATTGACCCACTATGTTCTGCAAATTATATTTTGGATTTTGTACTCTCTATGGGAGAGATTAGAGACCAAATTGCTAACATGTGCTGGATTATGGAGAAAGCCAGAGACTTCGAGAAAAAAAATCTACTTCTGCTTCATTGACTACGCAAAAGCCTTTGACTGTGTGGACCACAACAAACTATGGCAAGTTCTTAAAGAAATGGGAGTGCCTGAGCTCCTTATCTATCTCCTGAGAAATCTTTATGTGGGACAAGAACCAACAGTTAGAACTGGATATGGAACACCTGATTGGTTCAAAATTGGGAAAGGAGGATGACAAGGCTGCATATTGTTCTCCTGCTTATTTAACTTATATGCAGAATACATTATGTGAAAGGCTAGCCTGGATGAAATCCAAACCGGAATTAAGATTGCCGGAAGAAATATTAACAACCTCGGATATGCAGATGATACCACTCTGATGGCAGAAAGTGAGGAGGAATTACAGAACTTCTTAATGAGGGTGAAAGAGGAGAGCACAAAAAATGGTCTGAAGTTGAACATCAAAAAAACTAAGATCATGGCCACTAGCCCCATCACCTCCTGACAAATAGAAGGAGAAGATATAGAGGCAGTGACAGATTTAACTTTCTTGGGCTCCACGATACCTGCAGATGGTGACAGCAGCCAGGAAATTAAAAGACTCCTGCTTCTTGGGAGGAAAGTGATGACAAACCTCAACAGGATCTTAAAAAGCAGAGACATCACCTTGCCAACAAAGGTCCGCATCGTCAAAGCTATGGTTTTTCCATTAGCAATGTATGGAAGTGAGAGCTGGACCATAAAGAAGGCTGACCGCCGAAGAATTAATGCTTTTGAATTGTGGTGCTGGAGGAGAGTCTTGAGAGTCCCTTGGACTGCAAAGAGAATGAACCTATCCATTTTGAACATCCTCTGCCATCCCTGAGTGCTCACCGGAAGAACAGAAGCTGAGGTTCCAGCATTTTGGCCATATTATGAAAAGAGAAATCTCCCTGGAAAGGATCCTGATGTTGGGAAGGTGTGAAGGCAAGAGGAGAAGGCGACGACAGAGGACAAGATGGCTGGACAGTGTCACCGAAGTGACCAACATGAATTTGTCCCAACTCCGGGAGACAGTGTAAGACAGGAGGGGCTGGAGTGCTCTGGTCCATGGGGTCACAAAGAGTCGGACACGATTTAATGACTAAACAACAACAACAATGGGACATATAAGATATGCAGTATGGTGGATAGAGTGACAGGCTAGGACTCAGGCTTGGTCTTATCTCTTTATATTTATAATTCTTTAAGTTGTTTATTTTATTATTTATTTATTTATTCTATTTATACCCTGCCTATCTGGTCATCTCTTGTTTGCCTTTCTCTTCTAATTTAAAAAAAAACCCTTTTCCCCCAGGGGCTTGGAAATGCAAAAGCTTGGTACTCTAAGGATAATTTTTCAAGGATAAATTGCAGTCCTCATAACTCCTGATATCTATAACCTGAAAACTGACAGGCTGCCACTATATTGTTTTTCAACTAATATTTTGCAGACCTTAAAGGAATAGGATTCTGTGGTGTAAAGTCCTTAGGACCAAGGACCTTATAATAACCAGGTTCTAGATTGTTAGAATGTTGTCACTCTAAAATCTTGAAATGCTAGATTATTGTGGACTCTAGATATCATAATCACCAAAAAAGTGCACTATAAAACTTACAAACTTCAAGTTTACACAGTGTAACATAAAGAATTTCATTATAATACAAACAACTTCATTGCAATATAAACAGTTCGTCAGTCATTATGTTATGGTTTAATGACTCTGCTGGCTGGAGAGCTAGCTAATTGTTTTGCAATGACTATGTTGTTGTTTTTTAGTCATTAAGACTCTTCATGACCCCATGGACTAGAGCACCCTCGTGTCTTCCACTGCTTCCCAGAATTTGGTCAAATTCATGTTGGTACCTTCGATGACACTGTCCATCAATCTCATCCTCTGCCATCCCCTTCTTCTCTTGCCTTCACTCTTTCCCAACATCAGGGTCTTTTCCAGGGAGTCTTCTCTTCTCATGAGATGGCCAAAGTATTGGAGCCTCAGCTTCAGAATCTGTCCTTCCAGTGAGCACTCAGGGTTGATTCCCTGTTATTTTAATACTCCATACAGACTAAATTTCAGACCCTGACAAGGGTACAGAACTGGTAAAGCCACTCCTTAAATATCTCTTGTACCTTTAAAGCCCTGTCGGGGTCACTATAAGTCCGTTCCAATTGATGGCACAAAACCACAGCAAAAAGGAGTGATAGGAAGATTCCACTTCCAATGGAATCCATTCTCTAATGAATTATAATGGGGGAGGGTTCTAGGATCCCATTGTCATGATCAGATCATCTTCTTGCAAAGTTTAGATTGGCAGTGGCTAACTCTCTTGGTAGAGGCAATGGGCATATTAAGATGATACACCTTGGGAGACCTATGAAATCTGAAGGATTCTTGAATATCCCTGTCAATTTCTCGTTTGCATGGCCTTATCACTGTTGGTCCAAATACTATCTCTTGCGCGGCAGATATTAATGATTTCCCTAATTCTTTAAAGAGCATAAAGCTGCAAAAGAGAGCTGTAACCCAGATGGCACCTCTCTCATAGCGATCATGATTGAGCACAATTGAAAGCACATTATGTTGCCTTTTTGGTGGTAGTGATGATGTAGCTGCGCTAGTACATCTCCACTGCATCTTCAGATAAAACTTTTCTGGGTAACAGATGGGTTGTGAACAGTCTACTTTAATCTAGTGAGGACAGTGCTCAGCCCTGGAACATATAAAATAAATGATCTGAGTCAGAGCTTGGAAACTTGAGTGCTGTTGTTATTTCTCTTTCTACCCTGCTTTTCACTTACAAGGTTGTGCTCAAAATGGCTTGCAATTAGCATATAACATTGTAAAAACAGCAAATATCTAACAAAATCAACCATCAAATGACTAAAACAACAACATGAGCAGTTAAAACCATCACAATTAAATGAAAATTATTTAAATTGAATGATGCTGTGAGCTAGTTTTAAAAGATGTGTCTTCTTCACACCTAAAACTAGTTAGTTATTTGTGTGCCATGGAGTTAACTCTAACAGGTAAGTGCGATATTTAAGGAGTGGCTTTAAGGGTTCCACTCTGCTAGTGAGTTTCCATGGCAGAGTGGGGATTCAAACCTGAGCTTCCAGAGTACTGGTTCGTATCTCTATCCACTAGACCACTGGTTCTCAACCTTGGCTTACTCAGGAGTTGTGGACTGCAACTCCCAGAAGCCTTCACCACCAACTGTACTGGCTGGGATTTCTGGGATTTACAGTTCAAAAACATCGGAGTAACAAAGGTTGGGAACCTAGGCACTAGACCATACTGAATACTGTACTAGCTGCTATTGACGTTGATTTGGCAACTGATATGTTAAAGAAAATCAGTTCTGTGTATAAAATTATACATGTAATTCATTTTGTTAGTAGGTAATGGAAAGGGGGAGGAAAGGAGTTTGGAAGGTATGGAGATGGAAAGGGGGAGGAAAGGAGTTTGGAGGGGGGGAGAAGAATCCTGGACCCTTTGTGCTTGGCAGGAGAGGAAGCTGAACACATTCCATATGTGTTGTCTCCGACACATTTTTTGTATCGCCTGGCAGGACAAATTTCCAAATAGAACGAGCTGGCTTGGGCATGTTGTGAGAATGGCTGATTGTCGGATTCCGAAAGATCTCCTTTATGGAGAATTAGTGCAGGGAAATCGCCCCAGAGGGAGACCACAGCTGCGATACAAGGATATCTGTAAGTGGGATCTGAAGGCCTTAGGAATGGACCTCAGCAGATGGGAAACCTTGACCTCTGAGTGTTCAGCCTGTAGACAGGCAGTGCATCACGGCCTCTCACATTTTGAAGAGACCCTTGTCCAGCAAGCCGAGGCAAAGAGGCAGTCCCGAAACCAGCAAAATCAGGGAGCTGGTCAGGGGACAGATTATATTTGTCTTCAGTGTGGAATGGATTGTCACTCTCGAATTGGCCTCCTCAGCCACACTAGATGCTGTTCCAAGACCTCTATCCAGAGCATGTTACCATGGTCTCTCGAGACTGAAGAATGCCTACCCCAAGTAGGTAATAATTTATCAGTAATGCTTTAGTGTTAAATTTAAAAAAATAGAATAACTATAAATGGCTAAGAATAATCAAGCCTTCCAAATTACCTACTCAAATTAGAGAATTAAAGTGAGCAATGTAAATTAAAATAAAATTAATCAACCATTAATGTTGTTGTTGCTCAACAATTTAAATTCTTGCAAAAGCAACATTTCTAAAATAATATGAAACCAAGAAGCCACTTTTTCACTACAATGTTAACTTTGCCTATTACCTTATGAGTTTGCCATTCCATTGGTTAGTTAAGGTTAAGGTTAAGGTTCCCCTTGACAATTTTTTTTGTCCAGTCGTGTTCGACTCTAGGGGGCGGTGTTCATCCCTGTTTCCAAGCCATAGAGCCAGCGTTTGTCCGAAGACAATCTTCCATGGTCACATGGCCAGTATGACTGAAACACAGAACGCTGTTACCTTCCCACTGAAGTGGTCCCTATTTATCTACTTGCATTTGCATGCTTTCGACCCGCTAGGTTGGCGGGAGCTCGGACAAGCAATGGGAGCTCACTCCATTGCGTGGATTCGATCTTACGACTGCTTGGTCTTCTGACCCGGCAGCACAGGCTTCTGCGGTTTAGCCCACAGCGCCACCACATTCCATTGGTTAGCCACATTTATTTTCACTGTCAAAATTATTACTTCTTAAAAAACAAGAAATTAGGGATAGAAATGGGCACAAACTGCCAGTTTGTCAGTTCATGATGGTCCATTTGACAGCTGAACAGGTCTTCAGCTCTTTCCAGTCCCACCTCCTCTGGCAGGTGCCCACTCAGGGCAGTAGTTGGAGGAGGCGGGGCAAGGAAGCCAGGGTGGAGCTGCTGAATGGGTGACCACCAGAGGAGGCAGGGCTGGAAACCACCGAATACCTGTTTGGCCGTGAAACAAACTACTGGTTCGGCAGTTTGTGCCCATCTCATGTTTTATGCTTTTAATTGTAATTTATTGCATTGTATTTGTTTTTACTGCACTTTATTATATTTGATTTATGCCCCAATGTTATTACTATTTTATTATTTTGTTATTCTGTTGTTTGTTTATCTGTTGTAAACTGCCCAGAGTGGCCCTGGCTGCCAGATGGGTGGTATATAAATCAAATAAATAATAATAAATAATCTGTTATCTTTAATTAGAGATAATGAATTACTTTTCAACTAATATTTGTCGACCTGGGCATTCAGAATGTTTTCTCCATGCCACTGAATAGTTGTAGCCAACTACCTAATCTGTGATAAGCAGGAAAACCTGTGAGCAAGAGAAGGTACATGGAGCAGTGTTTCCCAACCTTGGGTCCCCAGATGTTCCTGGACTAGAACTCCCAGAAGCCGTCACCACCAGCTGTGCTGGTCAGGATTTCTGGAAGTTCTAGTCCAAGAACCTGTGGACCCACTGGAAACATTGGTCTAGAGAAATGTTGGTCTTGACACCTGCTTAATGCACATGGGTGTGCTTGTGCATATACAAATAAAAGAAATTACCAAAACATCACTCTTCTTGTTGTTTTGATTACTTTCTCCCAAAACCATGGTTTCTGATTGCTTCTCAACCACAGAATACTTACTGTACAAATGGGCCCTCCTACCACCAGTAGTTGTAACTGTTGGCTTGCCATTTTTCCCGGGCTGGAAACAGAAAAGTAAAGGTTTAATGACAGGTTTCTTAATATACCTTTAGCTCAGATGTCCTAACCCACTACGCACAGCTCATGCGTAGAGAAGTCCATCATGTACATACTGTGTCTCTAAGGGATTTGCCTCAATTACCCATCTACTGTGATATATACTTGTTTGTTGCATGAAAAACCACCATGTAAAACCAAGAACCACTTTCTCACCAGAGTATTGCCTCACCACTCCATTGTCTCCTGAGTCTGCCTTTTCTTGGGTTAGCTGTGTTTATTTTAGCATTCCTGGTGTTCTGCTTTTACTTAGAGACAGAGCAATTTGCTGAGCCAGTGGCATAAGAGATCCTCCTTGAACAAGTGGTTCTATAGCTCCCTGTTTCAGCTTTGTGGACCATCTGGTAGGCACAGAGGCCACATGCCCTTATTTATGGAAGACCCTCTTCCCTTTGAAGGGCTGCGGGTGGCCATCTTTCTTTTGATGGTGTCCTGCATTTGAAGAACTCTCCAGTTCAATTTTTCCTAGGGATGAAGACATTTCAGGACTATAGTGCAGGCCCTGGTTATCTCACAGATTGACTACTGCAATGACCTCTATGTGGGACTTCCCTTGAACCTGATCCAGAGACTTCGGCATGTCCAGAATGTGGCAGCCACACTGGTGGTTGGTGCAAGTAAATTTGACCATATCACTCTAGTTCTGGCTTGCCTCCACTGGTTGTCCATGGCATCCTGGATCAGATTCACGTTTTTGACACTCACATACAAAGCCCTCCATGGTTTGGGCCCATGTTACTTGTCGGAGTGTCTCTCTTTAGTGTCATCTGCCTGACCCACAAGGTCATCCCAGTCAAGGCTCCTCCAGGTGGCCACAACGAGGGAGGATCACAAATCCGCTACAAGAGGTAGGGCCTTCTTTGTGATGGCTCCAACCTTATGGAACCAGTTTCTGGAGGAGTTCTGCCTTGCCCCCTCACTGTGGACTTTTAAGAAGCAATTAAAGACATAGCTTTTTAGAGAGGCTTTCCACACCAACCCCAGCTGACCACCTTCCTTCCCCCTTATCTCTCTCTCTCTCTCTTCCCTCCTCCTCTTCCCTTCTCTCTTTTCCTCCATCCACTCTTAGATTAGCCAGTGCCATCTGGTTTTCTTTTCTTTTCTTTTTAGGGTTTTTGTTACCAATTTTAACATTTCTATTTTCATTTGTGTTTTCTATTTTATAAAAACTGTTTGATTGCTGCTTGAATTTCTCTCCTGTGTATTTATGGCTAGCCTGAGAAAGGTTATTTGACACCCACACACACCCATAGAAAGTGAGGGGTGATCACACTACCCTTTCCCATCATGCCTTGCCTCTGAGAACTTCCCCTTCAAACCAGTATTCAAGAAAAGGAGATGGTTTTATGTAGAGAGTCAGTTCTTTGATTCAAGAGGCATGGAAATGACTCCTCTTATTTCTTTCATGGTGGCATGTACTGAAACTTGTTCTGGATGCCAAAAATATAAAATTAAATAAA